TTCCGTAAAGGACGGGGAAACGAGTTGGCCCAAAATGCAGGCCAGATTTTGAACACAGCATGCTTATGCAAAATAGATGAAAATACAGGTCTTCTCCCAATTTTGCACTATGGGCATAGGGATGTTTTTTTTTTAATTTTTGTATTGGAAAGAAAAAAAAGACTTTGATGCGGACAATCGTGCGAGTGGCGTGCTTGCTATGTTTTTATAAGAAATAAGTTTTACTTAAATGGAGAAAAAGCAGGCACGCCACGTGCACGATTGTCCGCATCAAAAAGTCTTTTTTTCTTTCCAATACAAAAATGAAAACAGAAACATCCTCATGCCCATAGTGCAAAGCTAAGAGAAGATATGTATTTTTCTTTATTTTGGGAATGTGTTAACAGGAAAATAATATTCAACAAACTCAATCATAAATTAAATAAGTTAAATGAATTTTCAAGTTAACATGTTTAACATAATTATTTTCATTTAGTAGATCCTTACCTTTAAAGCGCTGGGCGCATCTGAAGTACTAAGTGTAAAGAGATGATGGGAATGAGAAATAATTATAACACTGTGTATATTCTTAATGTTGGTTTTATTGGATGTTTCCAATTGATTGGCAAAATTACATAATCGGACCGATTGAGTTTAGAACAATTGTCTCAGAAACACTTTAGAAGATTCGATAAAATCTTAAAGTGAACATGGACTTGTTTTGTTAATATCTAGATCGAACAGCAATCATCGTCAGCTTGTAAATTTTTATCTACACGGACTCTACTTTTTACGTTTTTCGGTTGTAGCGCCAGATTGTTTGAATAGAGGAGAATCATTGCTCATTTACTCACTTTTCTCTTTTTGTCTTTAATATCTCGTTCGTTCGGCAATAATCCCAATAATGGTTGAACTCTTATTATTTTCACAATTTTGACACCGAATTTTGAAGTGCACGAAACAACAAAATAAGGGAAAGATTACTTATAAACCGAATTGGATTTAACAAATTTCTCAGGCTTTTAGAGTCCGAACTAATGAACGAAAGTTTCTAATTATTCTATTGACAATTAATTTTTCGTAATTTCACTTGCACATTTTCAAATTCTAACAATAATTGGATAATGTACTATTATTTCAAATGTTCACTTGTCTTGTGTCCTTTGCACAGAATTCCACTAATTATCGTAATAGGCAATTATCAACCGTAACGCGCAGAAATTCGAATGAAATCAAATGTCTATGGTAGCGAGAATACTTCACATTGAATTTTACTTGAAACAATCACTTGTACGTCGGGCAGGACTTATAAGCTGGTTCCGAAGTTATGAACGCGTGATTGATTCAAGGAGCTCAATCTAAAAGACATGCCACTTTGGCATGTAAGACGTTACTGAATTTCTCTTCAATAAGTTTTGTCGCTAAGGGTAATTTTGATGGCTTCGCATTTTAGGCAAAAGGGGGTCACGTGGTGCGGTGGCGTGATCGGAGTTTTGGTTTTATTTCTATTTCTTTTATATTTTCTTTTTTTTTTTGTTTTATTTCTACAGCGAGTGCGAGTGTTTGCTCCAACGTTTTATTTGGATCGGCATTTCCATGAGGGCGGATTTTCGATCGAGCAGAAATTTGAGACCGGATGTACGAAGTCGAAAATGGATTGCATTCGTTTTGTCATTGTTTTAGCATTATTCTCAAGGAATTTATTCGCAGGAAATGAATTTATTATTTCTATTATTTTATTAATTTCTTTTTATTATTTAACGAAAATTTCTAACACGACAGGCAAGTATGTTTTGAATAGAATTTGGAAATAAGACATTTAGAATCGGTACGTGGGGCGCTTTTTTTATTTTTGATAATTTCTGTGGTTATCTCATTCCTTTTGCATCAAAGCTACATTCTAATATTTTTCAAATTTTGATTGTGCATTTTCTGATAATACAACAGGATATTTTCTATGGGATTTAATTGGAGAAAATCAGTTTGTTCCAATTTCCCTGCACGATGAAGGCATAATGACCATCAATATTTTACTGTTAGTTGATGGAAGCATTACAATCGCTCAAATTTGAGTTCCCGATTTTTATGTGTTGAAATAACTAAATATCATCTAAAAAGTCCGAATATGCAATTTGAAAATCTATACATAAGTATGTATGCATATATTTGATTCTTGAGATAATCAACACTTGGCACTTTCAAGGCAGCCTGAATTATCGGCGCACTCCTGCCAACCTCGAAACAAAATCTCTCACCAGATTTCGGTTTCCACAAAAACGTCGGGAAGGGGCGTGGCTTCATCTTAATAATTACTTTATTAAATAATCACAACACGGATTGAGTCAGTTGCATTTCTACTTAATAAAAGAGGGTGACAAAGAATAATAAGGAACAACAATCGATGTGTAGAATTGCAAGGAAAAAATACTCAAAATAAGTCGTAGTAGATAGTAATAGTAGATATATACGCAGAAGCCTTGCACTGCCGGAAAATTTGAACCGGCACATTATGCAAGACGCTACTGCGTCTTTTGATGACGAATGAAATCTTCACTTATAAATTTCATACATGTAAAACCCTTCCGTGTATTTCAAATTTGTTCGCACTAAACTTCAGTGTGCACACCATTTGCGTGGCGATACACCATTTGGATTATATGGGGTATTCCATGTGAAATCACCCAGGTCAAAACCCTCACCATCGTCAATCATATTGCCGATTTTTCTTGTGGTTGTACATGGACAAATATGACTTCTCAAATTTTTTCCGATTTTTTGAGGCATCCTGTGGGCAGCCATGTTTTTTTGCAAGTTTTATCTTCAAATACCTGTAACTTCCGTAAAATACAACCGCTTTGAATTTTTTTTTTACAAAATGTGCGCCTTCGAATACACTTTCCATATAAAAATATGCCAATTATTTTCAATTCATTCTTTCATCGATTTCCTCAGAAAAACCTCAAAAAACTTCAAAAAACAAGTCGCTTTCATAGTTGGACCCTTTTTATATTTTGCAAAAAATTTCAGTGAATATATTGGACCAAAATAAAATTTTTCACCAAAAACCAAAGTGGGGTCTCTATTAGAACACACCACTCGAAAAGATTTATTGTTAACGAATTTTCAAAAAATCATCGAATTGTTCCAGATTCAAATATAATGCAGTGATTCTTCAGGCGGTAAATTCAAATAATCCTTCTGCGTTCAAATGCGAAAAGAATTTTGAAATGTTTGAAATTTTTCATCCCGGATTTTGTGACGAGGCACATTATTTATTTTTTATTATTTTTCTACATATTTTTTCCCACTACACACTGCCCCCTAAAAGGTAAATCCCGCCACCGTTGGGTACCCCTTCCCTCACTTTTCCCCTCATCGCCCCGCTACCTCTGCCCCTGGAGATCACGAAGACATCAGCCGAAGGAAGACATCAGTTCCGGCCCCACCCGATCAATTGGAGAAGCCATCGTCTCCTGAAAATTCCCCATACTATACCCCCGAATATTCAACACCTGCAATAATCCCTTGCGAGACATCCCTGGATTGTGGTCACCACTCACCCGTGCTGATTGGCCCCGATTGCTCCCGAATTAAAACCTGAAGGACATCCACACCTGACGAACCTCCACGAATCGCGAAGGAAAAGAAAAGACCGTCACTCACGCATTAGCTGCCCCGTGAGTCGCCACGTGCCCCGAAAGTAGTAATTGTGAATACAGTGAAATTCGCCGGAAGTTATTTGGTGGATAAAAAGAGGACTTTTGATACATCGAGCTCATCCCAGCTCTAGTATTGGAGCCCAGGAAACCCCGAGGTGGAAAGGAGGCTCTCCAGGAAAACGCCCTAGTATTTGGAAGGAGTGCAGCGCGCCGGTGGAATTCCACGTGTTCGCCAGAGTGAAGTCCCATCGTGAGTATGAGTTACCCCCCTCATTTTCCCTCTTGACCCTACAATATTACCCTTCATACCCCCCAACGGTGAGCCTACACTCTTTTGTTTCTTCCCCATTTAGTTATTCTTCTTATATTTAGTTGCATTCCCTCGACACGACTAGCTTCTCCCCTTTTTCTGCATTAGAGTCACTCCCTTTTTTACGTGTACAAAAGTTGCCTGGCCTTACCCATAACCCTAGATCCAAGTAAAAGGCATTTCAAGCGTCTTACGACGATCTATTATGTAAATTAATAGAAATATAGATATTCAGTTAATTTTATTCCTCATTTGTCCTCATTATTTAATTGCCTTAAATCCCAATTTTAGGGAATAATACTAATTAAATATTGGAAGGTCACAATTCATATATTTAAATTTGAAATGACGGCCACGAAATGGGAAGTCCACGTTGGCCTTTGGTGAAAAATTTTGTTTTGGTCCAATATATTCACTAAAATTTTTTGAAAGATATAAAAAGGGTCCAACTTTGAAAACGACTCGTTTTTTGAAGTTTTTTGAGGTTTTTCTGAGGAAATCGATGGAAGAACGAATTGAAAAAAATTGGCATATTTTTATATGGAAAGTGTGTTCGAAGACACACATTTTGTAAAAAAAAAAAACTCAAATCGGTCGATTTTTACGGAAGTTACAGGCATTTGAAGATAAAACTTGCAAAAAAACATGGCTGTCCACAGGATGCCTCAAAAAATCTGAAAAAATTTGAGAAGTTATATTTTTCCATATATAACCACAAGAAAAATCGGCAATATGATTGGCGATGGTGAGGGTTTTGACCTGGGTGAGTTCACATGGAATACCCCATATAAATTGCAGAATGCATCCACATTGATAAACTATGTGGAAAATAATTGTGGATAAATAAACTTAATTTCTTCCAACCATTTGCGTGGTATTCTACCATGTGCAATAGTACATGTGGAATTAATATGATGTAAGACATGTATATGTTAAAAGTTGTTAGAGGCTGAGTCCACGTATGCCATCGTGGAAAGAAACAGAGGTTCACCTTTTAACTTGTTTCGCCAGGGGCGCGACGCTAGTAACTCTGCGATAAATTATCATTCCAGAGAAATTCGAGCATATCTGACAGTACAAATTACGCAGATTCATCACCAAGCATTGAGGAAAATGCTAGTATCGATGGAGTAATAAAAAAATTACATATCCATGGAAAATTGGGTAATTGGTACAGCCCATTGTGCAACAGGTGGTTTTCTCTCTTGGGTGTAAGTGTCCACATAAAAAGGTGTCACAAATCATTGTCACCCACAATTGTCACATTCATCTCTATTCATAATATTGTTTTTTTGCACTTTAGGCACTGATCAAGCTGTTGATAATGTTCCTGGTTCACTGGGGATATGCAATAGCGAATATTGTCGTTGTTTTTCTCGTTTGGAGTTACGTGGGTCATGCTAATCCAGCAGTCAAACCTGGTGTTTCAGCGGAATTTAAACTTTTTGAGTGGCTCAGAGTGTCGATACTCAGACTAATGGGAAGAAAAGTTTATGATTACGAGCAAATTGTTGTGACACCAGTGCATCCAGGGGTGGAAACGAGCTCAGCCCAGCTTAATGAGGAGAATGAGGATTTTGCTGGGAGGAGAAGATATCATCAGACATCCACTGTTACTGGACAATTTGTGAACATAGATTGATAAATGTATTTTTTGAGGCTGAATATGTACATTCAACTGTCATTTGTTACACTATTTCTTGAATGTCCTGTATGCTCTTGCTTTCGATCATCTAGGGGTGAAACGATGAAACGAGTTGGTTGACTTTAGAGCCATTTTTGTGGAGAATTTTTTGAGCTACAAAAATGTCCTGATTTTTTTTATCGCCCCTCATTATTGAGATAATGCAATAACAAATAACTGACAGAATTATTCAATGATTTCTAAATTTGACGATTATCATATGAATGGGTTTAGGAAACAAGGTCGTAGAACCTTCTTGTTGAATAGTATTATTTTTAAAGAAAAGTCATCTTTATCCGTTTTAATACCCCGGGCGCTTAAAAAAAGTCAGATATTTTCCGATGACTTCGTTGAATGCAACTGAATATATCAAGTTTCACAGGAAACATTTTTCAACTTCAATGAGATGATTCGTCGTCAATGAGATGAGTATTTCCATGACGAAAATTTTGAGCAATGTCTGGCGACAACTTTTTATAGAGAAAATTCCTCTCTACATAAACTTTAAAGGTCTTTTAGCACTCTCTTATGAAATTACTCATTTTTGGAATGATTCAGTGGTTACTGAATCCGTACGTAAAATGTAACCGTAAAATTGTCCGAATTATACATCATATCCCCACATACTCGGTAATTATCTCCAGAGTGTGACCAAGTTCAGGCTAACATTGACTCATTACCAAGATGATTGAATAAATAACCAGTAGATTGAATCATGTCAATTCAAATTTCGATTTCTTCCCTGAATTCTGAGGAAAATAAATCGGTTCAACATTATTAGTAAAATTTTCATATCATGACAGGATGGAAATCGTATCACAAAAACCTGGTGTAACTTCAGGGTTGAATATACTTGCAGGCATTTAAATTGAGTCTATTTTTTTTATCATAACCTAAAAGTGGTGATGAATAATTTATGCGCATAGAATAAATATTAATATATTTTAAGGAAATGTTTACATGTTATATCTACCATCTACTTTTCTCCATAATTCAACGATGATAATAATGAAGAATAACATTACTCGTAATTAGAAGCACAATAATTGATGCAGGATCCGAAATCAGGGATTCTATATTCATAATGCAATATTCAGTTTCCGAATAATACTCTGTAAATAATTGATATATTTATACCATCTTATACTTGCCATTTTTATAAGCGCAAAGTAAATTATACAAAATCTACAATTATTTATAATTTGTTGAAATTGTAATAACTATTGAGTAAAATAATACATTTTTAATGTTTTTTTTATTCATTGAAAGTGTTTTCCTCGTCATTTTCCAATTAATAATAATTTTACAGAGTATACTCAAATTTATGGAAAGTGGAGAAAGTGGTTGAGGGGCGGAGTACAGTGTTTGTGCACATGTGTGTGTGGAGGGGGTGATGCCGAGTAGGTGAACCGCTCTGGTTCACCACATGATCGCTACCTTTCCGTAACCTTTACCACCAAGTGTTGCGTATCATGTAGGAAGCTTCATTTTCGATAATGAGAGGAAATGAAAGGTTTTCTTTTATTATTTGAGAAATTTTTTTACTCCATGTATTGCAATAAATTTTGGAACAGAGCTGATGGATTTTTCAGTTCAATTTTTGTTGATAAATTTTCTGAATTGCAGAAAGGTCTTTTTGCTAAAAAATATTGTTCGTCATACTGCCGAAATGTACTATTTGATGTTTCGTCAGGAAATATTGTCCGATAAATCAATGGTTGGTGAATATTCTGTTTGATTAGAATTCTGGATTGAAGAGTCTCATCTCATGCTTCGAATCATGAAATTATCTTTGGAATGAGTGATTTTTGAAGATAAAAAATGCAGTCTTTCTTTGTAACAAAATTCTTCAGTTAATTACAGAAAAACTAGGGACTTGGAACGAAACAGTGAAAAGGAACGAAAATTCCGTTTCTTGCATTTCCATCTATAAGAATGCTAGAAAAACGAAACTAAACTCGGAACAAAATTTCTGAAATGCTTCATCTAAGACTGAACCTCGGAACGAAATTCATGGAACATGACTCAGCTCCGTGAAGTGGGCACCCCACTTGCTTGGATTTGAACCAAAATTTCATAATTGATAGATTTAGAGCTACTCGTGATAGTAGTAACGTTTTTCTTGTTTGTAGTTTGAAATTGAGCGTCCAATTTCANCAATCCGTTTTTGAAATACAGTTAGGAACTATTTCATAGTTACAGCTGGAATGACATTGGATTCCCGTCTGCACNACTTAATTACTATTTAATTGTAGTATTGGAATTTTTCCAATCCGAACTGAAATGAGCGTTCAATCCGTTTTTGAAATACAGTTAGGAACTATTTCATAGTTACAGCTGGAATGACATTGGATTCTCGTCTGCAATCGTTTGTAGTTGATTGTAGTCCTGGGAATTTTACGATCGGAATCGTAATAAATGTTCAATCGATTTTTTTTAATCAGTTAGGAACTATTTCATAGTTGTATTTGAAATGACGGGGGATTCTTATCTGCAATCGTTTGTAGTTGATTGTAGTTTTCGAATTTTCGCAATCGGGAATCAAACGAACATGCAATCGATTTTTGGAGCCCAAGTAGAAATTGATTGAAAGCTATAGTTAGAATGAGCTCTGATTCCTGTCTAAAATCGTTTGTAGTTGTTTGTAGTGCTCACAAATTTCCAGTGCACCAAGAAAACGGGGCGGCAGACAGTTGAGATATGTAAAAGAATTCGTTTGTAGTTGTTGTTGGAAGTGAAAAAAATTAAAAAGAAAAGAAGATTCTTATGAACCAACGTCCATACTTGATTGTAGTTTCGGAATTTTTCCAATCCAAACTCAAATGAGCATCCAATCGATTGTCGGAGCACAAGTTGGAACTGTTGAATAGCTATAGCCAAAATGACATCGGATTCCTGTCTAAAATGGTTTGTAGTTGATTGTAGTACTCACAGATTTTCAATACACCAAGAAAAAAGGGTGGTAGAGAATTGAGATATATCGAAGGATTTGTTTGTAGTTGTTTCTAACAGTGGAAAAAATCGAAAAAAATGAACAACCTTATAAACCAACGTTCATACTTGATTGTAGTTTAGGAATTTGTCCAATCCTAACTGAAATGAGCGTTCAATCCGTTTTTAAAATACAGTTAGGAACTATTTCATAGTTACAGCCGGAGTGACATTGGCTTCTCTGCAATCGTTTGTAGTTGATTGTAGTTTTGGGATTGTCGCGATCGGAAATCAAACGAGCATGCAATCGATTTTTTGAGCTCAAGTAGGAACTGATTGAAAGCTATAGCCAGAATGAGCTCGGATTCCTGTCTAAAATCGTTTGTAGTTGTTTGTAGTGCTCACAAATTTCCAATGCACCGAGAAAACGGGGTGGCAGACAGTTGAGATATGTAAAAGAATTCGTTCGTAGTTGTTGGAAGTGAAAAAAATCGAAAAAAATGAACCTTATAAACTAACGTTCATACTTGATTGTAGTTTTGGAATTTTCCCAATCCGAACTGAAATAAGCGTTCAATCCATTTTTGAAATAACGTTAGAAACTATTTCATTGTTAAAGCTGGAGTGACATTGGATTCTCATCTGCAATCGTTTGTAGTTGATTGTAGTTTTGGAATTTTCGCAATCGGAAATCAAATGAGCGTTCAATCGATTTTTGGAGCACAAGTAGGAACTGATTGATAGCTATAGCCAAAATGACATCGGTTTCCTGTCTAAAATGGTTTGTAGTTGATTGTAGTACTTATAGATTATCAATGTACCGAGAAATAAGGGTGGTAGAGAGTTGAGACATGTAGAAGATTCCGTTTGCAGTTGTTCTAGAAAGTGAAAAGAATTAGAAAGGTAAGAAGGTCCTTACGAACCAACGTTCATACTTGATTGTAGTTTTGGAATGTTTCCAATCCGAGCTGAAATGAGCGTCCAATCGATTTTCGGAGCACAAGTTGGAACTGATTGATAGCTGTGAAATAGTTAGGAACTATTCTACAGCTATGGCTAAAAAAAAAGTGGATTCCTGCCTAAAATCGTTTGTAGTCGATTGTAGGATTGGAATTTTTCTAATAAAAATGAAACTCATCGTTTAATCCATTTTTTAAGCACAGAGAGGGTAAAAATCATCGCAAAAAAATGACGTTTGAAACTTGGTAGAAATCGTTTGTAGTTGATTGTAGAATCGATTTTTTTTTCGATTGGAATTGGACTGACCGTTCAATTGAATTTTTGAATTGAATTGAATCCGAGCTCATTTTGGCTATAGCTTTCAATCAGTTCCTACTTGGTCTCCAAAAATCGATTGGACGCTCATTTGATTTCCGATTGCGAAAATTCCAAAACTACAATCAACTACAAACGATTGCAGATAAGAATCCCACGTCATTTCAAATACAACTGTGAAATAGTTCCTAACTGTTTAAAAAAAACGATTGAACGTTTATTACGATTCCGATCGTGAAATTTCCAGAACTACAATCAACTACAAACGACTGCAGATGAGAAGCCAATGTCACTCCAGCTGTAACTATGAAACAGTTCCTAATTTTATTTCAAAAACGGATTGAACGCTCATTTCAGTTCGGATTGGAAAAATTCCAAAACTACAATCAAGTATGAACGTTGGTTTATAAGGTTCTTAATTTTTTTCGATTTTTTTCACTGTTAGAAACAACTACAAACCAATCCTTCTACATATCTCAATTGTCTACCACCCTTTTTTCTCGGTGTATTGAAAATCTGTGAGTACTACAAACAACTACAAACCATTTTAGACAGGAATCCGAGCTCATTTTGGCTATATCTGTCAACAAGTTCCTACTTGGGCTCCAAAAATCGATTGGATGCTCGTTTGAGTTTGGATTGGAAAAATTCCAAAACTACAATTAAGTATGAACGTTGGTTCATAAAGATCTTCTTTTCTTATTGATTTTTTTCACTGTTAGAAACACCTGCTAACGAATTCTTCTACATATCTCAACTCTACACCACCCTTTCGAGTACTACAAACGACTACAACCCATTTTAGACAGGAATCCGAGCTCATTTTGGCTATAGCTGTCAACAAGTTCCTACTTGGGCTCCAAAAATCGATTGGATGCTCGTTTGAGTTTGGATTGGAAAAATTCCAAAACTACAATTAAGTATGAACGTTGGTTCATAAAGATCTTCTTTTCTTATTGATTTTTTTCACTGTTAGAAACACCTACAAACGAATTCTTCTACATATCTCAACTCTACACCACCCTTTTTTCTCGGTGCATTGAAAATCTGGGAGAACTACAAATAACTACAAACCATTTTAGACAGAAATCCGAGCTCATTTTGGCTATAGTTGTTAACAAGTTCCTACTTGAGCTCCTAAAATCGATCAGATGCTCATTTGAGTTCGGATTGGGAAAATTCTAAAACTACAATCAAGTATGAACGTTGGTTTATAAGGTTCTTCATTTTTTTCACTGTTAGAAACAACTACAAACAAATCCTTCTACATATATCAACTGTCTGCCACCCCGTTTTCTCGGTGCATTGGAAATTTGTGAGCACTACAAACAACTACAAATGATTTTAGACAGGAATCCGAGCTCATTCTGGCTATAGCTTTCAATCAGTTCCTACTTGGTCTCCAAAAATCGATTGGACGCTCATTTGATTTCCGATTGCGAAAATTCCAAAACTACAATCAACTACAAACGATTGCAGATAAGAATCCCACGTCATTTCAAATACAACTATGAAATAGTTCCTAACTGTTAAAAAAAATCGATTGAACGCTTATTACGATTCCGATCGTGAAATTTCTAGAACTACAATCCACTACAAACGATTGCAGACGAGAATCCAATGTCACTCCAGCTTTAACTATGGAATAGTTCCTAACTGTATTTCAAAAACGAATTGGACGCTCAATTTCAAACTACAAACAAGAAAAACGTTACTACTATCACGCGTAGCTCAAAATCTATCAATTATGAAATGTTGGTTCAAATCCAAGCAAGTGGGGTGCCCACTTCACGGAGCTACATGACTCTCTGGGGCTATTCCTGGCATTATGAAAAACTGCTCTATGGAAAACGTCGCTGCTTTGTCAAAGACTTCTTTTATTTCGTCCCATTGTTTGAGGACAATTATAACAGCATTGAAGATGGCCATGCAATGGGTCGTTGACAATGGAACCAATCGTAGTGGCGCCTTATCCTCATTGATAAGGCACCACTCTCTTGTACAGTTCCTCCCACTTTTCAAGATGAAGTGAATTGTGAGAGAAGTAATTCTTGCT